TGTGTGTGTGTGTGTGTATGTGTGTCTCTGTATGTGTGTGTGTGTGTGTGGTCTCGGCCACTGCCCCTCTGCCTGGGATCCTCTCCCGCCGCTGTTTCCTTTGGCAGCTTCCCTCTGTTGTGACTACATTATAGCGCCTTCCTCATGTGGCCGAAAAAAGGGCCGAAACCCGAGCCCCGGAGCGGCCCGTGGACATCGGCATCCACGGCGCTTTGAAGCCACCAGCTCTCTCCTCACAAAGCCCCTTCTTAGCGCCGGTGTCGTCCCTCAGCGGGGGCTTTCCTTCCATTTCCGCTGCCCTCCAAGGCGCTGTTTCCTCACCGCTATTCATGCCTCGGTCCGTTGGGCGTCTGCTATGCTGGCGGAATCGTCATGGTTACTGATATACTGCACATCTCATGTGGACACGTTCCTCTTTCCCGTGGGATGCAGGCCTCCATCGCTCCAGTTTTGAGAAACTATTGCAGGACACAGATATTTACTCAATAAAATGTTTCACCAGTGTGGCTGTAGATGATTGTTTTATCTTGAATAACGAATGCAGTGGTCTTTGGGGTTGATGTGTGAGTCTTTGAGTTGGAACTCTTTGCCTGTGATCAGTAGGTCATTGGTTCAAGACCCAGGCTTGGCAGAATGATTTCACCATTGGGATCCTTAACCCCAATTACCCCTCCAGAACTGCCTGACCCTGCTTTCTCAATTGTACATCACTTTAAGTAAAGTATTTAAACTTAAAATGTAACAAACCTGAACCATAATGTTATTCAATCCCACAAAGGGTGAGAAAATTTAAGTCTAATCTAAAGGATCATTTCCTAGCTCGCATAGCCTCGTCCTATGTGCCCAGACAACAATTTACAAACAAATCAAAGTGTTTGTTCCTCCTGTCAGAAATGTTACACGTCAAAAAAAAAAAATCCCTGCTGAATTAAAACATTTACAATACTGTGTATATATGTCTTTGTCAGAAATAATGTTTATGTGCTTTTGATGTTACTTTTTATATTTGGGAAATCAGTGCTCAGTTATAAAAGCATCAGACAGTTAAAAGAAACCAGATGTCAAACCATTTAAAAATATGTCTTTTTCTGTAGTTTCTCCCCTTTTCTTGTCTTTGTCTTTTCATTATTCCATGCCCAGACCTGGTTTTCGCAATATGAAATGAATCATGACAAGCGTTCCTTTGCTGTTATACTGGGAACATTGGAGTGTACGTCTTAGAGCTGAAAATGTATTGTCCATTTGAAAAGCAAATTACCCATTCCTCCCACAGGTAGGCGATGCAGTGTAACCAGGCCGTAAGGGTATGATGATGATGATGATGATGATGAAGATGATCGGAGACAATAAGCTGCTTTTGACACGGACTTTCAGAAAACCTCAGCGAGTCATTCTGTGCAGAAAGCGAGCTCCGCGGCAACAGAACTTGGCACATGTTTCTTCAAAATATACAAACCCAGTATTACAGGAGAAACAAAATACGGACAAATCCGCCACACAGTTATCAAATTAAGCTAAATTAAGTAGACAAACAATAGCCTGTGGCAGACCAGTGTCTTTGTCATTTCCAGTAATAAAACCCAGTCCAAATAAACTACACACAGGGAAAAACAATCAACCTTTCAACAAAACCAAACTACAGTCATGTCATAATATATGTATGTGTATAACTGGTATTGAAAAAACTATTCCTCATATATATATATGTTTTTCCATGTACAAGGACCCCCCTGTTTTTTGAGCAATACTTAATGGCTGAACTACGTTAATCAGTCGACAAAACACGGGTGTAACTTTACTTTTGGACCAGAAACCAAAGCATAGAAACGTACAGCTGTTAAAGGAATCTTCCGTCATAAGGTAAACTAAAAAGTAAGACTCCGCCGTTTAAAGGATGATTTAATCTTCCTTCCTTCCTTTTCAGAGCCCTCCCTAGTGACCTCTATGCCGCTAATTTAATTGTAGGGTGGGTGGGGGGGGTGGTTGCTGGTATAGTTTTGCAAACATTAACCAGTCATCAAGTGGCATTTATTAATGTCACTACGATTTGATTTGCAAGGACATAATAATCCAATTTTATGATGCATATCCCTGTACTCAGTGTGCCGTGATGACTCCCGGACAGACTGGAAACCCCCAGCCCAGCTATAACTCCTCCGAGAGAAAGGGAGAGAAGGCTGCTATGGCTGTAGACTCCGAAAGTGCCTGGGCTTCGAGGGGCCCAGTGCTGCGTGGAGTCTAAACGGAAGAGCGCCGAAGCGAATGACCCCCGTGGGAACCTGGATAATAATGTAACTGTCAACCATCACGCTCCCAACAATGCCTGTGCTGACTGATCGGTAACTGAGGTGATAAGACCAGAATATCTGATCATCTGACGGTTCCAGGTCACAAATGTCTGGAAGTCAAAATCCCGCCTGTTTTTCAGCCTCGCATCCATTTTGGCAGAAAGAGCCTCTCCTGAGTCCGAGGACTGCAGAATCGCTGGCGCTCTGCAAGAGACGACTAAAAAAACCCACTGCTTCAGGCTGCATTTGCCTGACCTGCTGACCACATCCAGATGATGTCATTCTCAAACCTAAGGAAACCAGACTGGGACAGTTTAATATCTGCTACCACAAACGTCTAAAATAACAAAAATATCATGATCCCGAATGGAGACCTGGTCATCGTCACTTCAGAAACATTTCTGCTGCTGGACTCCTGATGTGTAACACTGGTATTTCATATTTATAAACTCTTCCCCCACCTCATGTTATACGTTATGATCAAGTCATATTCCAGGGCGTTGATTCCTGAAATAATCCCCAGGTTCTCTGCGCTGCTGCAGCGGGTAAGTGGCTGGAAGCTGGTTTGATGAACATCCAGGGTGTCCCCTGCCTGGTCACTGCTGGGGGCTCATCACAATCCGACATGAGCAGGGATAGAAATGAATGACACGAATGTGTTATCATAATCTGCAGCCAGCCATGACTCTGTTACTCTAGTTATATAAAAAGGCAATTTTGCACAATACCTATTGTTTATAGAATCACATTTTGCGTGCTTCCATCCGTAAAACCGCTAAATGATCCCAATAAGGGTTTATTTTAATAAAGCAGAACAGGGATATGCCTTGGTGTGACTTTTGCAGCCCCGCTGTTAGTCTGCTGGGCTGCTGTGTTTTTGTTGATATAAAGTCAAACAAAGACTCATAGTTTCCTATATTTGTCAAGCTGGCGTTTGTTGCTTCTCTCTTTTTCTTCCAATAAATCGAAAAAAAAAAAAAAAGGGCCATTTTGAGTTTTACTGGAACACCGAATCATTAAATGGTTGATTTCAGATGGCAGAGTGTGAATGTTTTAAATTAGTTTTTATTGATCTGCGAGTCTGTTCATGGCCAAAGGAAAGAATGACACTCCCTGGCACGTTACCTTGTGGATTTTCACCTCAGCTGTTAAAGATCTTTTTAAACACCTCTAGTCTGGTACCTGTGAAGCAGGATCTCGTAGCAAACAACGCAAACACTGTAGATGTACATGCAGTAGTGAAGAGAAACCGCTTTTGTTGGGGGTTTTTTTGTAGTCTATCTCAGTGCTGTTTGTTTTTAACCCTTTGTATGCACATGTTCCACTATCGGCCAGACTAAGTTATATGGGACGGACAATCGCTGCATCCACAGGCTTTATCCGTCACCACCCCCCCAGTCCAGTGTGTCACCCTCACAGCCATCCTGAGATCACATCACGACAGTGATCAATGCCCCACGATACTGATACCCTGCGGGCAGCTGGAGGAGCCGTCATACGCCAAGGCAAGTGACCGTCGCATCTTGTGCCACAGCCGGGGGCCCATAGGATCCCTCGTCTTCACGTCATTCGTCATCACCCAGTCCCGTTTTCCCAAAACGTCTCCTTGGATTCACTTGGTCTCCGTCACTCCTTCCTTAAGACCCCTCTTGCTCAGGCTTGTAATTGGGCCTTTTGATATGACCGCGGCCCCCAAACTGCACTGCAAAACTGCACTGCAGTGGACGGTGCCAGGGCCGCTCTGTGCCAGGGGATGGAGATCTACTTACGGACATTCGTGCTCTTGCGGAATAACAACCCTCGGCTAGGTCACGCTTCCATTCTCGCCTAACCGCTTAACCACCATTAACTGCAGCCTAATGAAAATAATAGAATCTCATAAAACAGTCCCTCGATTGCTATGCCTGCTCCTACTCACCCGTAAGAAGTCCTCAGGCCTCGGAGCTGCAGACTCGAGCAGGACGCCTGTCTTTGGGGGGACATGTTGTCGTCGGGAGGCTAACGCACCACAACCACATGAGTGGGCTGTATTTATGATCGAGCCACAAGGAGGCGCCACAAAGGGCTTTGTCCTGGATCGCAAAGGATGCAGATACGGTCTGACCCCGAATCGCACCCGTAGGGGTGTAGCTACAGTCAATCCCTATTTACATTGGCAAAGGAGTAAATAAAATCTGACCTGATTTGCAGTGGAAAAAAAATCTGTAGATCACACTGGTAAGACAACTAAACACAAACACAATCCATCCCCACTCTCAGTCCCAGGGATTCAACTTCTAATGCTATCTGGGGTGAAGATGCTGCCGAAAACAGGAAATCAATACTGAGTGTAAGAAGTTCATTTTCTCAGCATTGGATCAGGTCCAGAACTTTTTTAGATGCGCTGCAGGATGTTGGATGTCTTTCTCATAAGGCTGATTAATATTTTCCATGTGAAACTGATGAAGAGATTAAAACGAATAGGAGGTTATGACATAAACCGCCTTATCATTTTCAGTATAATTACGAATTGTGTTTTCATTCTGGGATGGAACACATTGGGACACTTTCAGATTTTGACCATTGAAAGGTCTGAGTTTCCACAGGGTACAGTGGAGGGAACCAGTGGAGACAGACGCTGGTGATGTGATCCCAATGGCGTTTCCTGTATGTGATGATGAGTGGCCTGGTACCCAGAGTAATCTTATGTATCATATTGGAACATCCTGTGCATGTCTGTGAGCTGGCTGTCACTTCCTATGCATGTCTGTGAGCAGGTTGGCATTTCCTGTGCATATATACGTGAGCAAGCCGGAATTTCCTGTGCATGTCTGTGAGAAGGCTAGCACTTCCTCTGCATATCTGTGGGCTGGCTGGCACTTCCTCTGCATATCTGTGGGCTGGCTGGCACTTCCTGTGCATGTCTGTGAGCAGGTTGGCACTTCCTGTGCATGTCTGTGAGGAGGCTGGCGCTTCTTGCATATGTCTGTGAGCAGGCTGTTTTCCTGTGCACTGTCAGGTCCATACGCTTGTCCCTAAAACATCCTAGCGCCCAAAATCCCCACCTCGACAGAAGGTTCCACCACTGCAGGCTGTAAACCCCACCACAACAGTCGTCTGTTAGGCCACACTGTCTGTCCCTCCTCATGTCTGAGCCTCAGTCTCCGTCTCTCCAGGTGGGTTATACCAGTCAGCACTTGCTACGATTCTCTGGGAATCTTCTCAGGGGCCACGGCTTCCCAAGCAGCCTTCCAAGCCCCCAGCTCCAGCCTGTAACCCCCCCCCAATGCCCCCCAGTTTACACAGCCGTTACGCCCCATGGAAGCCAGCCTCACACAACCCTGCACGCTGCCATATCCTGCTTGTCTAACACGACCCCCCCAGTGTGCTGGAAACCTTTGGATCATACTCAGCCGTGAATAAAACCTGAGCTGAACATACAGGGTGTCCCCACGGCACTTTAAGATACTGATCCATTTAATGAGTGACCCCCCCCCCCACAGGTTAGCCTCCTGTATGACACCGTTTTGTGTTTCAAAGTAAGAATCACTAGATTCAGCTAATAGCAGTAATTTGACATCACAACAAATCCATCATTGTTTCTAATGAGGTGTCAGATTTGACTGCTCACTGCACCGGATTGATGCACAGATTCAGGCCAAAGAAATCACCATGTGGCCTGAACAGGATGGAAACGTTACCGCTAATGTTAACACTAATGCTAATGGCTTCTGGGAGCTACAATTTCAGATTATTTACATTCACTGCCTTACATCTGCCTGATAGTGTGTTTACAGTGAACTAACACATCATATTCAGGCCCTACATGTTTCAAAGCTATAATTTTACAAATGCAGGTAGTTTTTAAATGACCATCATGACACTGAAATAAGAGCAACCATCTTACAGCTAAAACGAGACAGATGTATATGCACATTTTATTTCTGTCACACATTCTCACTTACATTACATTTTCATTAAAAATAAAACACTCAGTCATGCTGTTCTCTCATCAGTCTTCTGGTTACTTGCTCTGTTAGTGCTGATTTTTCACCCGGGAAGAGTTTAAAAGACTGAAAAGCGGGCGCGCCGCTCACACCAGCTGACATGAGTGGCAGCATCATTGGGAAGGAAAACCAAAGTGTTGTTACACAACTACCGAACACCCCTGGGAGAAGGGGGGGGGGCAGAGGCTGGGAGAGATAAACCAAGTCTTTCCAGAAGCTTCCACGGTGAATATGAGAAACTTTGATCCTACAATTATTATTATTATTATGATTAAGGTCCACTTGACCATCTGTTTTACCACCTCCTTAGGCATTGCAGATAAGATGTTGGGTTTCTCTCTGGAAATGAATGTATATGAAGATGTCAGGATTTTTTCCCCCACAGTGGGGTCCTGCCTCTTTCCCCCAAGAAGGGACTCATTGTGGCCGTCCACCTGTGTGCCTCGAGACCGAGGACTTCAGTGCTTCCTCAGCGCCGGATCAAACAGCCGCAGGGAACCACGGCAGATCTGCTGCAGCTTAGCTTCAGTGCAATGAGGGAGCCACTGCAAAGTACACTCCCTAACCCTCCCACAGAGGAAACTGCCACCCTCTCGGTTCCGGTCCCTGAAGGGGTCCCCAGGTTGCACCCAGAGCTCATATCCCGTTTGAAGGCAGATCAGATGGACCCTGCAGCCAGGAGCCCCAGTACACAGGTGTTAAACCCCACTGCCCCTTTTTTTTGAGATATGAACAGTAACCACCCCCCCCCCTACCCACACCCTCCATTCCATTATGCAGGGGGGCCCAGCCAAGCCAGCACACCCTCTGGATGCAGCTTTGGTTGGTAACCAACCTTTTATTGCATCAGAAGATACGGCTTTCAGTATATGATCCCCGTGATGGATCAGTCTCCTGAAATGACTATTATGGAAGAGCTTATCAGGAAAGGAGAAACCAAAAAGCATGCTAACTAACATGCTAATGTAACTAGCATGTCCTCTTGCTTCTTGGGCAAGAATAAACCACAGTGTAGCTATTGACGTGTATTTCTTGCTATGAAAACAATGCCCTGGGGTAATAATCACATAAGACAATTAAGCATATAATAAGATCCTTCAAGCATTCATGGCAAAACAGACACAGAGAACTGATTTGGACGAATGTGGTGGAAGTGAACATTGTGACCCACGCTATGAAAAAAAGCTACTTTAAGTCATGTTTGAAAAATGCTGAACAAATCAGGGTTGGCAATGAACGGCTATGCCTAGTTACTTCCTTTAAAAGTTTCGAAAACAGTAACAGTCTGTCCTGTGTGCAAGGCTTTGTGATTCCACTTTTAAATTATTAAATGTTCTGAGCAGCAGATTTTAAACTGAAGGGCTTCGCAATTATCCTGTGAAAAAGGACTGAAAGTTTTAACACACACACATACACACATGCACACACACACACACACACGCACACACACACACATAGGGTAAACATACACACACTCACACACACACACACACACACTTAATTGTGGATGATTTATAATCCTGTTGAGAACATTTCCGTATGGAAAACGGCTTACAAGCTGCTTTGGATACAATGCAGGTTGCAATGTCTCAGAATCACTGCGTTCGCAATATATATTTATATATTTTTTTTGGCGCCAGTGTTCATTTCAGAACTTTTGGGTAGTCAAAACACTTTTAGCATATTAACCTGTCAGTAGCTGTGATTTAGTGATTTAGCAGTTTTGAGGTGGGTGAAACACAAAGTGCAGATTTACACTGAGAACAGATATAACACAATAAAAATCAAAACTCCAGACATTTTTACTTGACAGCTTCCAGGGTTTGTGTCTAACTGTTGCTCAAAATCAGCCCCAATTCACTCCAGTATGTGTTCTACTTGCTATGGACTAACACTCTCCAGTCCTGAGCTTTGACTAGTCCCACTACGGGGGACGTGT